CGCCATGCATGAAAACGGACCGAGCAGGCATAATCGAATGATGTAAGGCCCTAATAAAATCGTAAGTCGGTTGACAGGCGGTGCACATAGCGTGGAATAATGGGCCAGACATTCCTCCCCCGTAGACGTAGGGGTGGTTGGGTTGCATTGTCGCTAGTTCCCTTACGTAAGAATGGCGACGAAGAAACGACGCGAAGGCAGGCAGATGCCGTTTAGACATTCTGCTGCCTCGTGTGATATGCAGGACGAAGATGGAACGAGACTTAATGCGATCTTACGCTGCCTGCGAAGCAGTCAGGTAAATCGAGAGCAGAGATTTCTTTCGAATCGTTTCTCTTCAATGTGCAGCGACAAGATTTGACAATTTCTTCGAGATCTTCCCTTCGAACAAATCTTCTGCCCCTTTCGTAGCGTATAGATGATGCAATTTCTAACTTACGGCGTTAAACTGAATTTAATGCACAGTTTTAAAAATCGAATTATGTAACGAAGAACTCGACGAGCATAATACAACAAAATTGCAAAGGTCACAGCGAAACGGCCTAAGATGATGATGATAGGATAGAAGAGCAAAATAGGGAAAAGGTGGATGACAATCGAGAGAATTTACGGAAAATTGAGTAAATCGCGGTGGAAATCGAAGAACTGCATAATTGCGAAAGAGTTAATTTACACGTATTCGGAGGAGACCGTTACGAATTTTGAAAGTAGATCTATCGTAGAAAGGGCAGAGAACACAGAAACAGAAGAAACAAGGAAGGGTGGAAAGGTGAGTTTGGAGTAAATTGAGCAAAAGGAGGACCGCGATTGAGAGAGGGCCGATTCGAGGGCGGAGCAGAGGGGAGCGGAACATACAGAAAGCGAGGGATGCAACCGCGAAATCGGGTAGACCCGTGAAAATAACGATTTCTCCTTTGTGGTGCCGTTCGTTAAACCGAGAAGAGCCGGTTTCACGATAGGAGCAGAACGAAGATCACGACGATGGAGGAAGAGGGAGAGGAATCGTGCATGGGTGTTCGTGACTCGTCGATATTTTTCCCGAACGCTGAAAGAATCGATATTTTATGTAGATCGCGAGAAAAGGGCAACGTGCCCTTCGCCGTTGCTCTGGCTATTCTCGCCTGGACGAACAAAAACATCGGCTGATCCCAGGCGAGAAGAACGAACGGGAAGAAGACAGAGAAAGGAAGGTGGACAGGGATGGGGAAAGCTTTGTTGCACAGCGGAATTCATCGAGAAAATGGAACTTCGCCTTCGTGGCGATTCTTACGTCGTGGGTGGAGAAAATTGACGTTATTCATCCGATGCATTCGAATGAATTAAATAGAAATATTCAATGCATTTCCATGCAATCTGAATGAAATTGTCACACGAATGAAATTTCGCAGTGCCCTAGTGCTCTAATATTAGAACTCGAATCGTTATTGTGTAGAACTTAATCAATGCAAATTTAAGTATAAATTAGTCGCGTGAAATATTGCTTGGTTTCGTCAAATTCTATGGCAATGGAAATCGTACTTTCGAAATAACTTTCAACATAAATGGAAAAATATTTCAATAATTTTCACTGCCATATTAGAAATTCCCTAATTATATAAAAATGAATTATATAAAGAAACACTTGTACTGGTCAGAATACTGAATCATCGGTTCCAACCCCCGACAAAACCGCGAAGGTACCACGAAATTCTTCGCTAATACGTTGAAAATATTTACTCGAACTCTCTGATCATTTAGAAACGACCCTTGAACCAGTAAGCAACCACGTTTCCCAAAATCATCATCTTCGAAACATCCAGACACCGTAGCCGACAATGGTGCAGCTCAGGTGTCTCATTGTGCTATTTTATCACCTGACGTATGTGTCCGATGTTTCCCCGAACCTGGACTTCGCGACACGAAGGTCAGGTCGGCGCCCGGCTTTTCCCTCGCTTGTGAAAAAGGGGAAGGAAAGAGAAAATCGAAGATTGTTGCGAACGTCCAGCTGCAGTCGGTCGTTCAGAATGGATTCTGTTACGTGTGCGTGCAGCTTGATCGTGGAAACGTAGGTGGATGATGGATAGACGGTCACCGTGTCAGTCGTGCAAACGTTAAACGAGCCCCAATGCGTCGAAATTGCATGGGCACCACCATTGTAAGCGGGTCCCATTTCGAACGACACCGAAGACTGCCTTGGTGTATGCAGATGCGGGACAAAGACGTGTCGGAGATTCAAGATAGGATCTCGCTCCTAGAATTTTTAGTATTAATGCACCTGGAGGCTGGTTAATTTATTACCGAGCGAGGGTTGGAAACTTATCGAGAATGGATTTGCGTTTAATCGTAAAGATAATTGATACGAATTTTAAATATTCGAATATTTAAATATTCAAACGGTAAGGTTTTTGAATATTCGGTTAACCTGTAAAGAGTTCTTGAAAATTTCTTTAACTTCCCAATGTATTTGAGACTTCTTTCTTGACTGTTGCTGTATCGTTCACAGTGCTCGTGAACGTTCGTCAAAAAACCGTTGCTTCCAACGTCTCTTCCAGAAGTATCGTCTCTCCTCCTCTCCTCAATTCCATCGATCCGTTCCATTAGAAGCTTCGTGCAACGTTCGTTGCGCTTTTTTTCAAACCTGAAGCACCACCAATCGCATCGCAGCTAATCGCGATAGGACAAAAACGTGGTGGAAAAAGAGGAAAGCAAAACATCGGTCGCCTTATCTAGGCGTCCGTTGGTGGATGAGTTCGCACCTGGCGTCTTCGTAGTCGTCGTCGTCGTCGTCGTCGATAAACGTTATTTTTTGAACTAGAAGTCGCAGAGCCTTTCACGGGAGCGCTACTGGAAAAGGGTGGAAAAATAGGAACCGACGTAATTCACCCCAAAAATCCTTTCTCCCCTCCCTCTCCTTCTTCTTTTCGAATGTTAGAGAGCCGCGGGACCTTCTCACGGAGAAAAAAGCGTAATTTTGATGAAAAGAGGGGAATCGACGATGCAAATTCAGGGGTGAAAAGGGAAACCGACGTGTTCGTCCGTGTGTAGACTTTGTGTACCTGCTTTTTGCGTCTCGAACGCGTCACTCGAGGGTAGGAAAGACCGAAGCCAGGGTGTAATCGGCCGCGCGAGGAAACGAGGACGAGTAACTGAAATTTTATAGGGAATCCACCAATACGGAGGCTTTTTACTGTCCAAGGCTGCTCTACCTGATCTGTCGACTCTCTTCTACCGTTTTTTTTCATCGTTTCAGGGGAATCTACGTCAGGTATGAAGGGGGCACAGATGCGGAGGAACGAAATGCGGAGCGAACCTCGTGAAACTTTTGCGTCGAATTCACGGGATTCACAGGATTTTGAATTTTTTTTTTTTTTACCTTCTTTCTCCCTGACTACGAGTCTCGTCCCACAGTAGCGATCATCCCCACCTGCGACTTCTTCGACCTTTTTACGAGCGTTTCGCGAGCGTTTATCTGTTCCTGGCCGTCTCTTCTCGGTCTTTGTCCTGACATCGATGGGAAAATTCGACGGTCCAAGTGGCTAAGAGACTTCCTTTCTTCGCTACCTTGGTTCACTGACCTTTCTTGTTCTCGCGGTCCAAATAGCCATTCAGACTTCACCCCGATAAAATAAGAATAGTAGGAAAGCCCTTTTCTATTAAGCTGCTCATCGTCATTCTCTTGTCTTTTATCATTAATCTTGCTAGACTCGCCTCGACTCATATAGACTCGAAATGGATGTTATATTTCAACATAAGTTTCATACAAATGTTATATTTTAAGAACGTTAACCTCTGAAGCAAAGATCCATTCGTGAACAAGGTTTCGCATGACGGTCGTCATGCCGCAAATCCCCTTTCGGAGAATGCGAAACGACCTCCGCTGCCCCTGCGTATCGAAATAATTATTATTAAAAACCGTTAGACTGACGCGCAGGACCAATGAGGGCGCGTAAGCTCGTTTTCTCGAACCAAACGAATCGGTTCCGTGCCATTATCCGGCACGTACCCCTTTTTCAGGGGGCGCGTAACAGCGAAAGAAGAAGAAAAGGGTGGCGAGGGAGGCTGGTCATAAGATACGATGATGGGTGCGCGAAGAGTTGTTCCGCGAGGTGGAGGGAGAGCAAAGGGCCAAAGGGTTTTCCAGGATAGCCAATCGTACGAGATCTTTCCATACCAACGACCAATCATCGAAAGCCCCTTCCAGCCACGTGGTGGTGGGGAGGATTCGGTCGTCCTTAGGGGCACGATTTCGTTGCGTCATCCTAACATTCGTTCTGTATCGGTCCTTCGATGAGGATCACTGGCTTTCGTTGTGACCTTCGGAATCCTTGGTGACTGCCCTTGGACGTTATACCAGAATATTCAGTTCGATCGGTACCGGCAGTGAATGGTGTTGATTATTCACATTATCAGTATATTGGTAGCTTTCTATTAACGTTTCTTGAACATATCAAACTTCTTCTATAATTTTGTCATACAAAATTGTCACCGTGGTTGGAAATATAATATATTCGATTCTTAGGAAATATATTCGATTTTATCGATCTCTCCCAAAAGATGTGGTGACCAATCGTCACGATGCCGAAGGGCAGATACGTGGAAAGAAGAAGATAGTTGATGGTCCAGAGTCGATCCGCACCCAAAGGTCACGGTCATTGACCGTCGTGCTGGATCTTGAAGCCAAACCTAATGTTACCTCAAACAGCGGGCCACGGGGATCCTCGAAGGCAAACGAGGTCATGATGGTCTTCCTGGAAGAGCCCAGGATGATCTTTGCGGATATGCGACTTGATGCGACCAGCACGCCAACTTGCACCCCCACGCGTTACCTTCATCAGAAGTACAGGCCGCAGAACAACAACAACTGTACGATCTGTCGTACATTGAATTCGCTAGTGAATTTAGAGTTGAACTTAGGAATCTCTTCGACCAAAGATCCCTTCAGCGTTGAATGTTGGGTTAATTAGGTAGTCGTTGAAAGAAGAAAGTGATAATTAAAGATGGACTTTTCTTATTTTTTACAGATGCAGACCTTCATGGTGAGGTGGATGGACCCGATCTCAGCGGTGACGATAGGAGTATCACCAGTGATATTCAAGATGCCACTGAGGCGAATCTCGATCACGATTCCATGGACTCGGATAGGGAAGCTCTCAATCTGGTTAGTATACTCTCTGCTTTGTTTTTTACCTTCGCTCAAAGACAAACTATTGGTCAAAGAAGATGCTGGTAACATCGGGAATCACAGCTTCCGGTGGTGCTTCTCTTTTGTAAAAAAAAAAGCTCCCTTTTGTCTCGAAGTGACGACAAGAGGGCTGGATATTTTACAGTCATTCGTGAAGAGCGCAAAAAGTGCTCCCGTTCAATATTTGGCAAATAAATAAAGGAAGCCACTAGCGAGATGAACGACAGAAAGGACATATAGGGAGGGATGTAGGTTTTAAAACACAAAAGCGCAGGATGGACCGTAGTGACCAATATCCTGACCTGGTCGAGTGTAAACACGGTTTTGTTCGACGCCGTTTACTTTGTAACATTAGGGTAGGGTAGCTCTTCCGTGTTCCTTCGATTTCTGCTCCCACGCGATTCCATAAAAATCGATTCTTTCTTTTTCATCTGATCATCGTGTCCCAATTCATTTGTAACACTTCGATTATCAATCGATATATAAACATTTATGTCCGTGTCTGAATACTTCGAAACCAAAGGGGTAGTTCATTATTATTTATCTTCGAGTAATCTTTAAGTGATACGTATATATAATTTTACGTCTATTTAATTGGAAACACAAAATTGTAATAAGTAAGTTACTTCAAACTCGAATTATTTTATTGGCAATATTTTTATTAGTCACAATTTACAATCTTCTCGATCTTCGATTAATTTTCTCTAACAACGAAAATATGTTTTAGGTCACAGACGTGTCGCACCGCAACAGCAGTAGCGGAACCAGCGGCAGCGCCTCCTCGCCTAGTTCCGGGGTGAGCAGCCAAATAACCGGAAGTCACCAACAACAGCAACACACGGCAGGCCAGCAGAATAGCAGCAACTCGCAAGCTGCCCTGGCTGCCCAACTAGTCAGCCAGCAATTGCTGATGCACGGACCTCTTGGTGCTCTCGGACCACAGGAGATTCAGGCATTGGCTTCGACGTTTCAGCAACAACAACATTCGCTGCAGCAACAGTTGCAGCAGTTGGCAATGTTTCAACAAGCCAACTCTGCTGCAGCGGGCCAGCTTCCGGCTCAGGCGCAGTTCTTCTTACAAAACCAGGTTCGTGAAACCTTCGACATTACCTTTCCTAGATCGCTACAGTACTAAACTATGGAAAGAAAATTTTGTTGCTGATAAGATAGTTGAAAGATGCGTGGCAACATGCCTGTTTCTCCGATTTTGCGATAATTCTATTTTCGTATTCAAAATTTCAAAACGATGACCGTACAATAACTGCACTCTAGATCCTAAAATTTTAGCGAAATAAAATGTCTCATTCGAATGAATATTAACATTATCTCGATTATTCGAGCATCATATGAGTATTCAGAATTGAAAAAAGGCAGAAAAACTGAGCGTGAAAACGCCGAAGGCAGCAGCAGCAGCAGGATCCTCTTTCCTCTGTAAAATATAAAGAGCTGTCGAAAATCGGGCGCGTTTTCTATCTCTGACCAAAGGTATTACGCTGGGAGCGCGAACAAATGCATCCCGTGCACTCGAATTCCGACATCATTGTTCTCCGGGCATCCGGGTACTTTACCGAATTACACACTCGATGCGAATTCGATTCGAATCGTCGCGTCGGCGGCTAGCGGGGATGGTGGAGGTAGATGATCGCGAGCCCAGAGACGACGTTCCATGCGGTATCTGATCGACCGCCCGAAAAGAAGTAGACGTCTTATTCTTCGGGGACGATTCGCTCGATTTGACGCGGAGATAGCCGGCTGGAGATGTCACAAAGGGACAGGGTTTGTACTCGTTTGGCCTCGCGTTTTCTCTCTGACAAGTGGAAAATCGTGATCGGTCGAATAATTAGAATTTGACGAGTATGGAAAAATATTGCCCAGTCTTCAATAAAATTTCAAGGATACACAGGATTTTCTATAGACTTTCTAAAAATCTACGTTATGTTCGTTACAAAGGAACTGGGTGTGTTCGATTTTCCGATTGTGATCGTCGAGCAATCCTATAATTACGATTTGATGATTATAAAAAAACGTTTGCCTGTCTACAATAAAATTCCAAGAATAAGCAGATTTTTCTATAGACTTTCTAGAAACGTTCTCTATTTTCTTCGTATAAATAAATTGACTATGTCGGACGTTTCGTTTGTTAAGATAAAAAATGGGAAGCAAATACATTCATCACCTGCATCCTCGTAAAGAACATACCCTGAATATCGTTCGTTTTGTGTGTTTTGTCCCTCGAGATCCAGCGGATCGAAGTAAGAAAAATCGATATATCCGGGGATACGATGAAAAACGATCCTCCTTCCTGGATCTCGGCCGATTTTATCCCCTCCTTGCAGCGAGAACGTTGAATGAAGGCCTTCAGGGTCTGCGCGCGTTTACGAAAAAATTTCTATAGATTCCGTCACGTGAAGCGCGTGCACGTCCTACGTAACCTCCTGGAAAAACTAACAAAACGACTTCGAACTTGAGCAGATTTAATGGCCGTGATATACGTAGCTGCGAGGATTAAAGCCTTGGGTCTTCCGTGTCTTCTTTGAAAGGTGCAACAAGGAGATCCCTTCGGCACCTTGCCACGGGGTGCCTTTTGTTACCTCACACGTGGCCAAGCTGTTTCTTTTTTCTATCCTTCGCTATCCCTCCTCTCCCTTAATTTTCCATCTTCTTCCTTCTTTCGTCTCGTCTTTTCCTTCGTTTACATCGACCAACCCCCCTGGCTTTTTTTCCCCTTTTGGAAACAGTCGCGGGATTAAAAACCCAGACACACGTATTCCTTGATCGCGCAACCCTTCCTCGAGTGCCTTGCAACCTGCATCATAGTCCGGATTCTTTTCAAGGATTACACGCATGGCGGAAGTCGTCCGTAACACTGATTCAATTCCTTTCGTGTGTGTTTTGGGCTACCAGCTGACACGCAATGTCTCACGTTCGAAGAAATTCGTGGCATTAATCTTCGGACAGCGTAGAGTTCCTCGGATAACTCATAAAAAATAGTAGTGTATTGCGATTGTTAATATTTATCTTCAATGAAAAATTGAAAGTACGTATTTTTCATACCTGATACCAGAAATGCAGAAGATCTTGAAGAGATAATTATTTTCTTAATGGTTCATTCTGAATTTTCCGTCATTTTGTTTATTACGCTATTACAGGATTAATACGACGGAGAGAGATCAAAATGTTCGATTTCCTGAATATAAAGAGTTCGATTTGCTTTCCAACAGTTCTTATCGTTACTTACAATCACATAGATTAGCATTGCGTCATGATTGTTGTTGCATTTGTAGTACTTTCACCGACTTGATTTCAACGATTCGATCGAAATTAACAATATCTCTGAAAGACACAGGAAATAAAACTAACAAGTCATGCTTTCTAGTTTTTATAGTCTGACAACTTAAAGAATCGCGTGTACAGGTGAATCTTGAGTCTTGTAACCCGTGTGTGACGGCACGTGGCGATATTCTAAGCACCCTTCGCAGGGTGTCTTCGCGGTCGACAATAAGCATAAACGGGCTCGACACGCGACCAATCCCAAACCCTTTTCCTCTCCGGACGACTCGTTTTGCACGGGCCCCTTCTTCTCGTAATCGAGCATCTGGTTAAGAAAAGGGTGATGATAATCGATCGGTCCGGTCGCCCCTTCGGCGACTCCTCTCGTACCTGTCCACGAGCGCAACACGTGTCGCCTTTCCAATAGAAACCGCTTAATCTACCGACGTGTGGAGCAGCTTGGTTTAACGTGTACTATTTATCTCGAATAGGGGTTAGGAAGATTATCTATAACTGGCGCGGCATTTCAAGAGTAGTTCATAGATATTCAGATTTCGAAGGCCCTTAAAGAAGCGAAGATTTCTTTTCAACCCTATCGGGTTTCTTCGATCACTTTTAATCCGATCTATTTCGCCTAAAAATATCTTAAGTTCGAAGAAAATATGGGAATATCGTTATAGACATGCGCAATTTCAACTTTGCACTACGGATTTTCTTCTAATGTTAAAAGGTATATTTTCGTTTGTACACCAAGTACAAGATTAAATAAAAATTTAAGAGCAGCAGCAGAATTAGGATGGTTTCTGTGACTTGCAGGTGTGAATCATGCTCGGTAAATGTAGAAACAGTATAAAGATAGAATATTTAAAAATTACTTTTTAGATCGAGAAGCCTTAGACAGAAATAAATAGAATTGTTCGTACCGAGGAAAACGTGTACGATAACGATCAATGGTCGTTAACGTCTTGCAGGGGCTGTTGCAGGGCGGTGGCTACTCCTCAAGATCCAGTCATCCGCGCTCACAGTCCATGCAGGTACGACAGACCATTAAATTAAAGATCCATCAATTAATGCCAAATGCGTCTCTAATATTTTCTACCGATTCTACTTAGAGAATCAAACGAAAAAAAAAGAGGATTCAATTATGTGTCATCAGGTGCAGCAGGCAGTAGCGCAGGCAGCCCAGCAACTGCAAGCTCTGCAGAAGCAGCAAGCTCTTCAGGGTAGCGGAGGTCTAGTTGGTCGAAGTTTAGGGCAACAAAGGTCACCACCGCCACCTGGCACGCCTCCAGCGGTGAAACCACCTCCTCCGAGGCTTGAACCATCGCCGGAGGAGACTACGGACCTCGAGGAACTGGAACAGTTCGCCAAAACCTTTAAACAGAGAAGAATCAAACTCGGCTTCACCCAAGGCGACGTTGGCCTAGCTATGGGCAAACTTTATGGCAACGATTTCTCTCAGACGACGATCTCCAGGTAGATATTTTTCATAATTACAAATAAGACGAAGAAGTAAAAGGTTTTATTACCATTTTATGACTCGATTGTCTTATTCTGCTCGCCAGGTTCGAAGCATTAAATCTTTCTTTCAAGAACATGTGCAAACTGAAACCTCTCTTACAAAAGTGGTTGGAAGACGCGGATAATTCGTTGAACAACCCGAATTCTCTTTCGAATCCACTTACTACACCGGAAGCTATCGGCAGGCGGCGGAAGAAGAGGACGTCGATAGAAACCAGCGTGAGAGTTGCTCTGGAGAAAGCGTTCGTACAAAACCCGAAACCTACTTCTGAAGAAATTACCGTATTAGCAGACACTTTAGCCATGGAAAAGGAAGTTGTTCGGGTGTGGTTTTGCAATAGGTAAGCCTGAAAAGTACCAATTTTATTCTTTAATTTTTTTTAACACTAAAACTATCGGCCTTCGATACGTATGGTTACTTAAAATTAAAATGGTACGATACCAGCGACTTTTAATTGGTTCCAGTGGAACTAGTAGTTTTAGCGTCGATGAAAATGTTTAACGAAACACATTATCGTCATATTCTATTTCATTACAGACGACAAAAAGAGAAAAGAATCAATCCGCCAACAGCAGCAATGGGCAGTCCAACAATGGCGTCCCCAGCACCATCAGTCTTCGCATCACTCGCAAGTTCCATGTCCGGTAGTCCTCTAGCTCTCACGACGCACTCTTCAGGCATGGGACACTCTCATCCTCACCCCACACCCCTCGGTTCACCATTACCCTTGGCTCTGGTGGCTTCAGCAGGTGGAAACTACCACCCACTAAGTGGCAAGTCCCACGAGTGACACCAGCAGCCCACCCATCAAGGGGACGCGCTTTTTCACCAACACCATCAACAGCCATCACATCAACAACAACAACAACGACGTTTGTGCAATCTACCTGAATTCTATCACTAATCCGTCAGCTAGTCCATCGTTGGCGATGATTCAGTGACTATCTAGCGAACGCCCGTTACCAAAGGGAATTTGACGCGATGGAACCGACAGGATCGAGCAATATACGGTCATGGGAATGGAGCAGAGATTTTGGACTGTTAGCTGACTTCACGATACAATTCGAAACATATCTTGGTGTCGAGAGATTCCATTTGGAAGAGATTATGTCAGGAGTGGATGCAATCTTTAATTATGGATTGTTATGATCAATCAATTCTGAAGGGAAGAGGATGATCAGAGGAGGAATTATCAAGGTATATCTATCTTATAAAGAGTATACGAGTAACGGAGAGGCATTATGGAAAGGCATCAAACATGGAACGCCATAAAGAGACTCTTAGGTAAAAACTTAAACTTCAAGAAATGCAGTGTATCGTCCAAAGACATCGATTTATCGAACATCGTGTTTCGTTGAACGTTTCGTGTTTTTCTCACAGTATTATGTTTATTGGCTGGATTATTCGGTTGGAAGCGTTGATTGTAGTGATGACGATATCGCGCGGAACGAAGTCTTCGAAACTTATGTGATTATTATACATTGTATATAAAAATACTGCAATTTTTCCAACTTGAAATATGCATTTGTTTCATTTGAAGAAATTGAAGAAACGATGATACAAATTACAGACTAAATTTGAATTCAATCAGAATTCAAAATAGCTTTGAGGTCTTCATTCCCGCATAGCAAATAGTGCAGGATCGTTGCCGCCATTCGACATTTATTTACAAGATGTAATTAACGACGCGAATATAACCGGCCGCGAACCGTCATAAAACAGTACCTTAATCGGTTTCTGCAGTTTCTCATTTGAATTATCATGAAATATTTATCATGGGGGGAATCGTTCGACGATACCTGTAATTATCGACTGGTTTTCCTCTGCGTCCTTCGAGTTTCCTTTTGCCCATCGGGCGATTCAACGTCGCTTCGATCACGCACTACATTTCGTGCGTGCTGTTTCACGATCTCGAAGAATCCGAGAATTGAACTTTTCGAAATCGTGAAGCCACCGGAGAAAGACAAAAGAATAGAGTCTTTAAATTTTTCACGAGCATTCGTCCAACGAATCACGACGGAACACATGATCGAGATTACAACGAACAACGAGAGAACACATGAATCGAACGTGTTAAATCTTCCTGCCGTTTTGCTGAATTCGTGGTGTCGCGATCGACGGTTCCTTCGAAGGGGGCAAACACTTTTTACAAGTACTCGCCTCTTCGTGGTAAGCAGGGTTTACGTGCCACTTACAAGGGAGTCTCCAATTCCTCGAGAGAGAAAGTTCGTCTATTACTAAAGAAAAGAAGCACCAAGTTCGTGGAAATGTTCACTGCCACTCAGAAATAATAAAAAATGGTAGATTCTAATTTCTTCTAATGAAAATCAATGATTAATCGACAGTTTGGATTTCGTGAAAACAACCATTCGCTTAATTTCATCAAGTAAAAAAAATATTATACAATTCAGACGAGCTTTTGATCTTCAAGTTTCAAGTTCCCTTTGAGGTGGTGAACATGCGGTGAGGCCCGACAATACGATTGTACATAATTACGCATACGTGTGCGTGTCTGTCTTCATACATATCTGTGTCATAAATTTGTATATGTAGGCAAAAAAAAAAAAAAAGGAGGAGGTAAAATACAAAGAAACGTGCGGGCCTAATAATACCGTGAAAACAAAGACTAGAGGAGAATATGGCTCGTACATCGTCATCGACAGAGTCCTCACTCGCGTCTTGGTCGATTGATTCTCAACGAATTGTAATTACTCAAGCCAAAGTATCTTCTAATTAAAGTAAAAGAAGGTAACGAAAGTTACATTTCCGAGAGGGTGAACATGGATGGCATGCTGATATTCTCTGTTTTTTTAGACAGACACGAGGTTTAGCAGTTGTAGATACGTCTGTACCTGTACATACGACATATATAGACAGGCTACCTGGGAATTATTCCACATATGTAGCTCGTATACGTTTGCGCGAGTCGATTGAACACGCTCGTGGTCCGAGAGTTCGCGTTGACGCCATTTTTTGAAATCGAGAAATCGGTTACGAGGCTGATGGCATTTATTAGAAGCGCGAATTCTGATCTTGGAGCGCACAGATCGATTCTTCCAGGTGGTAGACACCCGGTGACTAGTTAAAGGCTATGATCTTGTACAACCAAGGTGACGGAAACAGTGTTTGAAGAGATTTACATACATGTAGAATTTTGTGCTAGAAATTGTCCATATACATATACATATTATATATTACGTTAGTTATGTGTATATGTGTGTATGAAGCACATATGTATGCAACGAGAAAGACATTGCGCAGTAGTCGAGCATCGGGAATATATACATATGCATGTATAAATATACATACTATACATAAATGTATAAAGTAAACGTATTGTAAATAATAGGGAGATATGGCAGCGAACGGTGATTAGCGAATCCGCGGCGAATTTATTCACCGTGACGATCGTTTCTTATTATTGCGACGCTTATTATTAAGTAATCCTTAATTATAGGGTATCATTGGGCAACGCTGGTCGTCATAGCAATCGTAAGTTCGAGTAATCATGGAAACGTCGTACCTTCACTCTAACATCGTAGAATTGATTCGTTCGTAGCCTACTTTTCCATGTGGCAATTAATTTCGATCTATATCGATCGATGGTGAAAGAATTATTTCAAAGATGCTCTATGATAAGGAATTGAAAACTCATCGCTACACTTAAGTGCTGATAAATGGCGATAACCGTAACACTTATGCGACATTACTTATTAAATACGATATTCTTGATATTGTGGTTTGTTTCTGGTGAACTCGATTTCTCAATCCCTCGTTCTTACGATCGCCAACATCAGCAAATTAAATCCGTGTACGTACATTTGTTGCAAGAGCTTTTCTTGTAACGAAGCACGAGCGTGCGTTAACCGAAGGTGTATATGCGTACTACTATCATAATGTATGTATATATATATTTGATATTATATTATATGTAATTTTCTACGGAAGCTATGTGAACGCAACGCGATATATCACAATATATTTTCGATATTCTGATATATCGTGTACGCGTAATTATATATAATATAATATAACATGTGTATGTATGTATGTATGTAAACGAGTACGAGACGAGATCTCATATCGATCACGCGCGTCTTTTCGTTCTTAAATCACTCGAACACACACACACACACACACACACACGAGATCATCTCCCATCTTTTTTCACATAACTACCCTTCATAATTCCACACAACTTCGGGTTTTCATCTCTTGAATCGATCTTCTACTTCGTTTTACTTCGAATCATTCACTACCAGAGTCGTGGACCAAACTGTAGCGAAACAAAAATGTGAATGAGAGTGATAAAGAATGAAAGAAAATATAGCGAAGAGAAATACAAAAAAAAAAAGAGTTCCTAGAGCACCAGTTTTGAGTGCATTACGTAGACGTTTTATAAATTAAATACGGTGAACGGATGTGTAAACGATAGAAACGGGAGACAAATTGATACATAACGAGCAGCCCATTGCAGCCGAAGAACGAAAAAAATGAGTGTGAATGACAGAGTGTGAGTTAGGGACACGTTTGCGTTTTCCTTATCTTTTTTCTTTTTTCTTCCTTTTCTCCTTGTTCGTCGGAGGTGTACAGCGTTTTTTCTTGTAGATAGAATAGAGATAATTAGAGTCGAACCCATGATTGCCGCACCCTCTGATCGACGTGTCACTGGTTCACTTTCTTTTTTCGTGGGCTTCGATGAGCCGGCGCATTCCACTGAGCGATGAACGCATTATTACAATGGTTATCATTATTATTATTAATTATTATTATTAATTATTATTATTATTATTTCATTATATTTTAACTTTTATTATTTGAAAATAAAAGTGCTAGACAGACTTTAGTTACTTTTTGTTTTTCATTTTCTTTCTGTCTATCCTTTGTTGTTTCCTGTTTTAGTTACTTTGTACAGAGTACTTAAATAATCCTGGATTATTTTCTAATCCACCTGATAACTCTTAATCGATAGAGTAAACACGAAACAAGTTACATCGTTGTATTTCTAGAATCCACTTTTTTATTCTTTCATTGATTTTTCAAGATCTCGGGACACGTTTGCGCAATATTACCGCGTGCTTACCAATCGAGGGTTAAGAAGATCAAGTATCAGTTGTCGTTAACACGTTATGTGCCACGTGAATTATTAATATCTGATAACATTTTATAAGTAGCCACTTGTCTTTTAAAAACAGTGTAAACTTTTCCTTTTAATAAGCTTCGACCGGGAAGCTATGCCGGGTTTTGCGGCATAGAACTTATTGATCTGATTTTAAATATTCAAACCGATATTTCGTTAAACGTTCGAAATGAAGGTTCGTCGAAGTTTTAGCGTGAAAAAGCATAAGATTTTGCTCCTACCGTCCCATCGCGTTTTTTCTGTAAATACATGATGCGAAATAGCATAAAAGTCGCGTGAAAAAGTGGCGCGTTTCTAAAAAGGCGCGCAGGATGCGCGCAACTTTTCGAGATGGCAGCACGCGCTTCGGAACGAAAGCCAAAACGGTTGGTATATCGAGAATTAGTTGATTAATCTCAATCAGTAGCAGTGTATAATTGTCTTCTGAGAGAAATCTAGCGTTATATAGAAGCCTATTAAACAATTCGATGTGTAACTCGTAAATATTGGGACGCGAGCGTCGTTCGACTTCAATGCCTAGAGGTAACGTTAAATAATAAGAACGGAGTACCCTTAAACGGTAACGCTGTAACAGATGACACAAGAGTAAAGGTTTAGAGGATAATTAATTAAGAAGCAAAAAAAAAGAAAAAAAAAAAGAAGAAGAGAAGAAATGACAAGAGCACGGTATGACAGTTCTTAAAAGATTAAGTGAAATAATATTAGAGTCATGAGAATGGGAGAAGTCCTTGTTCGATGACAAAGTCGTCTAAACTATTTTGTACTGAGAATTAGTGGCGTGATCGTGAAATTTGCGATCTTTTTAAGGCGTTCATCGGCGTATTCGTGACCATAAAATCTCATGCCACGGAACGCACTACGATTAGGAATTAATTAATTGCGAAGCGTGTTTCTGATGTCCGCCCCCGATATTCCGCGTTAGTCTCTCAAAAACTTACCGGAAATTAGAGTGAAAGGAAGAGAGAAAGGAAAAGGGTGTGTGCGCGTGTGCTAATGGAGCTGTATAAATAAAGTCATATCAATCTGGAATAGTTCATGTTATCTAGGATATACTATTACTACGATCATTATCATAATATGATTAGTAAGAGTATTGTAATTGTATAATAAACTGCGTCATAGATACCTCACGCGTTCGTTCTATCATTGAATGCAATCCTTTCTTGTAAATAATACTAGCTGAAAGATAACTTAATGAATACTTCAAGTCTATATTAATTACATCGTAATTCCAGGTTTAATTAACTTTGATAGATAAAGATAAATATATATTCATAGTTTGTATTATCTTAGTCAATTTATGAAAGGTAGCTAACATAAATGGCGCCAAAATTATACGTAAATCTAAGTACACCGCAAGGTGGCAGTCTTACGATTTTCGCGCACCAGATACTTTGAATGTTGTTACTCGTGTTAAGTTCTTAATTATATTAAATTATTATCAACAATTTGTCAAATTGTTATACAAATTTTATTGCCTAAACGTTTTGTGGCCTGAATGACATACAAAATTCAATTTTTATTAAGTATAACGTAAATTTATTTCATCGGAAATATCGGATAGGTATGCCATCTTGCGTTTGCGCGACTCATACTTCGTACGGTAGTGAAATCGATAACATAACCTTAATTCGAGGTCGACACATTTATTCATCACGTGCAATTATCAAGTAAACAAATAGTAAAGTCTGTTTTTGTGTGTGTCGATTGAAAAGTTTATTGTGATACTAAAAACGTTAATTCCATTCTTGCGAAGTAAATATAATCTGCGAAACCATTCTTGACGCGAGGCTATATATATGAAGTTTAATCGTTTAGTGTAATGTTCAAACATTAAAATATTGCGTGAAAAATGAGGGATTCCGAAAATGAAGATGGCCCTAAAGTAACGGGGCCAGTGGATAATGCCTGGTCGTTAAAAATTCCATCTTTTAAGCCCGAGGATAATCCACATCGTTTACTCGAAGAAAGTTCGTTCGCGACTTTGTTTCCAAAATATAGAGAACAATACTTAAAGGAACATTGGCCATTAATTCAAAAATCTTTGGATGAACATGCAATCAAGGCCGAATTGGATCTCATCGAAGGTAGTATGTCTGTGAAGACCACCAGAAAAACTTGGGATCCGTATATCATAATTAAAGCTCGTGACATGCTCAAACTCATGTCCAGATCTGTTCCTTTTGAGCAAGCAATGAGAGTACTTCAAGACGATATTGGCTCAGATATCATAAAGATATCATCTTTTGTAAGAAACAGAGAAAAGTTTGTCAAAAGACGACAGAGGCTCATAGGACCAAAAGGATGTACCTTGAAATCCATCGAATTGTTAACAAATTGTTATGTCGTTGTACAGGGACAGACAGTGGCTGCATTGGGTCCTTACAAAGGTCTTATTCAAGTGAGGCGTATTGTGGAAGATACTATGAAAAATATTCATCCTATTTACAACATTAAAGCATTGATGATTAAGAGAGAGTTGGCGAAAGATCCGAAACTGAAAAATGAAAATTGGGAAAGA